TGCCGATGTTTCCGTTTATCAACGTTATATTTTAAGATCTGGGCAAGAACTCGGCTAACGGATGCTTCCGCATATAAAAGCTATCTTCAAGTTTTCTACACCAAAAAAAACTTCCGGCGGCGGTACACCAAGAATCAGATTGAAGATCTGAACCAACTTGTGAAGCTTCGAGGTATGCTCAGAATTCTTAAACTATCTACCGTCTTTCTGAAGACATGCATCATAAAACGATTTGTACCAAAATTTATTAGTAATCGCATTGCGAGATTCCGAGCGAGACATAGTCCAACAATGGAACGTGCATTTTTGAATGATGAAATCGAGAAAAACTAAAAACAATATTCTAAAGTAAAAGTTCGTTATCGCAACCTGTGGTCAAAAATTAGAAACCGTCTTTCATTTTTCGACATGATTCGCTTGTGCCACTACAATTCCAAAATTGATGAACGGATGGAAAACCAGACAAAAACAAAACACGATCGTAACATAAACATTCTTATTAAGAAACGTTTTGGTGGTGCGTTGAGTGACTCCAAAAAACACATTATTAATCTTTTAGATTAATCTTCTTATGTTTTAACATGTTACAATCACTCACTGAAGTTAATTCTAGGGTTAAACTATTAAAAAAGAGAGTAAAGGTAAAAAAAATGGTGAAAACATAATCACGCAGTTTCAAATAGTTTTGTTCACAATAAGTAAAGTAGTGTACAACACTAATCCAATGAACTAATTAAAAGAATTAATTAAGTGAAATCGACCATTTTCTATGTAAACTATTTAAGATATTTCTGTGCGATTAATTGCAATATTAGCAGTATTTTTGTCAAACATTTTATGTTACTCATGTTATTGCTGATCCTTTAACTAAGAGAGTCAAGGACCCACAAGCAATTTAACGTTATTTATTTTTGTTTGTGGCAAAGCTACTAAGGCTACCTGCCGCCGTCCCTATTTTTAAACTTCCAACCAAAGAGAAGACAACCGGTCAATAGCACCCACTGCAGTTCCTTATGCCACTTTTTGACTAACGAATAGTAGATTGGCCGTCAGTTTATGGCACCACACAGCGAGCACGTTTGAAGCCGGGTTTCGGTTCTGCTACCCACAGATTATTAGTGGAGTCAAGCGACCTAAAAATAAGTCCATCCCAGGCCTTAAATTTGGTGCATAAATAGCTTATATTAAAAATTCGATTGAATCCATACTCAAGCCCAAACCGGGCCAGCTCAAACTATTTAAAACATTATTAATCTCTATTGACAGTAGTTTTTCAGCACACACTACGTGTAGATTTTCCGTGTTTCTTTGTGGAAAAAATAATGTAAGTTAATACCTCATATGCACAGTACCAAAAAAAAAGAGTATATTTTTGTAGGAAGTTTTTAATCAGCTTAAATAACAAAATGATAACTATAGTAACTTTGACCTCACTCTTATTTACGAGCTATCACAGGTACAAAAATAGTAAAATACTGGACTTCATTTTTGAAGGACAACACGGAAATTAGAACTAACAAATGTGATTGAAGCAGAAAACTTTAATTAAATCACACTATACAAAGAAAAACATGTATTAACACAGTCGTTATCACTAACAACTACTTCGCTATTATTCTCAACTACCTCTAGATGGCGACACATTACATAAATTGTTCAAAAACAATTGTTGAGCCGATTTTACAATAATTTATGTATGTAATACTCAAACACGCATATTTTGAGAAGATATTTCTACCGCGTAGGATTTTCAACAGAAAAACTTCTGCGAATAGAACGTTAAATGTTTGGCCCGAGCTCTGATTTATAGATATCGTGAATATAGTACTGCTTCAAAACTGAAGATTACGTTATTCTTTACGAATAATATATTGTTGGGAAATGGGCATCAACAAAAATCACGTCAAAATGCTTGTATTGAGTACATTTTTGGTAAAATATAATATAAAGGTTGACTTCCATCTTAAACTGCTTGAACCGTATCTTTTAGCTCAAAATATTGTTATGGATACATAATGAAGATCCTTGACAGTTTGTATTATTCTCACATCTTTACGTTCTGATCTAAGGAGCGATTGTTTCTTATCTACTTTAATCGGAAGCGAGATTTGACCATCATTCTTATAGCGTACTCTCGGCCCCAAAGTGCAACGAGCTGCGAACCACAAATTCTTGAATTCATAATCTGAGCACTCTATCTACTAGGGAACGCTCGGCTCAATACCATGATGACGTTATTATGATTATACTACTTCAATAAAAACTCATTTTAGCGAAATTTAATAATTAGTCTGAGAAACGAAGTAAAGTAGAATTTTCTGTGCTTAGATTATATCTTCTAAGATGAAACTGATTCTCACAACTGATTTTCAAATATTATCTGACAAACGTTATATGTTACTAACAGCTTTCCAGCTGAATAACTTAAGCAAGTAAACTAAAAACATTTGAAGCTATACCTGTTTTGAGATAGAACGCATGTACAGTAGTGTGTTGGGAATCATGGATTGTGGGGAGGAGCAAATATACTCTATTTATATTTTCTTATGTTATTATATTATGAATAATATTATAATTTTCCCCTAAAAAATCGGAGGAGGGGAGGCAACTGCCTCCTGCGAACGTCCATGTTGGAGGTTTATAAAAATACAAAAAGTAAAATTTGTTTGCTAAAATACAAATGAAGAGTAATAATCATTGTAATGGGACCAACAATGCTTACTATCTTCATTGTAGTAGGAATTGTTGGTCCTATTAACTTCATTGTAACAACACTGTTAGTTCAGTTATTTCATTTTTGTGGATAATTATTTTTAGGATACCGGGGTTACGATTAAGTTTATATTTACCTGGAGTTTAAACAAAATTTATTTTTGGTTAGGTGAGTAAAGATTACACATGTGTTTTGTTGTGGAAAATTTTAAATATATTTTCATGTTTTTTCATCTAATTTAGTTATGACATCCACTTTTTTCGAGTCTAAAGACCACCATTTTAGTTTTAAAAATATAATTTGAAGTTTGTTTTTCTCACTTCGAAATTAGAGAGATTATTTTGTCTAATACTTTAAACGTTACTAAACTGTTTGAGAATTACAAAGTTGTTTTTATAAAGCCCTCCATGAAAGACAGTGAACCTGAATAAGTAATTAGCTTTATAATGTAGAAATGTATTTGTTACAAGAACTACAATAAAAACAAATACAAAACAGATATTTGGTGACTTGGAAAACAAAATCCATGTTACTTTTTAGAAAACTGATGATCTCACTTAAAGGTTATAAATTGTTAACACCTTCCAGACAGATGAATTTCATGCATCATACGTTGTAAAGATAGAAACTAGAAAAATGGAGGTTAATAATATTGATTTTCAAAATTGCACAGATCGTGTCGATTATATGCTGCTTTCAAAAGTTGTTTCACAACTGATAAAAGTTCGAAGAAAGTTAACAAAGACCTTTTTTTTTATTAGTTCACTTAATTCCCTTTTTAGAAGTTTTATAGTGATGGTCGACCGTAGATTTCTCTTCAGTTTTTCAACCGTGACCAATTAAATTTAGTACATTGCTACTTTTACACACACAAATATCGGCAATAATATCTGTACATACAGATAAATAACCCTTTCCCCTACTGTGTTGAAAAACGTAATAGTGGTCGAACGAAAACTAACTCGTGACAAAGCAGTCTGTATTGAAACTTTTATTTAACCTTGGACTTGATGGGTTTCTTTTCTTTGACGTCACAGCTGGAGCTTTTCAGGGTCATGGTAGCTTCTCGAACTTCTAACGAGAGCAACGGGGTAACCTCTGGTGGCCCTTGCCAAGCTATCGTCAGTTGAGAAGATGTACATATACGCCTTTCGAGTAAGATTTTATATATAAATATACAGAAACAAACATCTGTCCAATACTCTATGTTGGCATAATTCTTCGAACCTGATAGTAGAAAAAAAATAATAATAGTAGTAACAGAAATGGAATTTTCCTTAATTTCACGAAAAATCTCACCGAATCTTGATTGTAATCGATTCTGAGTTTAAGTAAATTAAAAGCTGCTATTTTTTTATTTAATTTTTTTACGACACGTCTTCAAGGTAACAGAAAGTCACATGTTCGTGTTACTTGGTTACATGAAAAATGGATTCCAATAATCCTTTCAAAACTTGGGTAATTCTCATGTTTTGAAATAAAGAAAGATACATAATACTACTGAGTGAAAGTCATAACTAGGTATATACATATAACTATAAGACTATTAATAACAATTAATTCCATTTAATAAGCATAACTGATACATATCCACTACATTCGCACAAGATAGAAGTGATGGCCTAAAAGAAACAATACAGCAGGTAAAAAAAAAGTTCATAAAACCGAAATCTTACCATACTCCAAGCTTTCCTCAGTGGTTTTCTTCGTTTGACCCAAACATCTCTTGTGAAGCGTAAGTGACGTATAAAAATCCATCATCATCTTTGTTATCCTGATATACCTCAGCCAGTGACATTGACATGCTCGACATACTTTTGTTGTTAACTATAACATAGAAAGCCCGACTTGACTTCAGTTGCATACGACTCCTGAAAATCATCATAAGAGATGCTGAAGTCAAGGACTTTCCGAAATAATCATTTAAATACAGCAAATTAGGTGTATGTGCATTTTTAAAGAAGCTTTGGTGTTGAAACTACATAAATTATCCAATATTATTCAAACAAGTCAGACATAATAGCAAACTTTTGAAGTCATTACCGAACAGTTAGTCTACATTAAAACATAAAATATTCGCTGGACACAAGAACACTTTGTTTGAATAATGATTTTCCTTAAAAGACGTGTATTTTTGACAATAAACAATGATAAATAAATGTACCAGTAAAATACTGAGCTTTATAGAAGAAACCACTTCCCCATTAAGCGTGTCACGATAAAGCATTTATATATTACTTGTTTTAAAGAATGCATATTAAGTGAAAAGCCGATAATCTGAGCAAATGTATAGCTTTAGCTTATGAACACAAGCAAAGAAAACGCGAAAAGAATATACTTTCTCAAAAATACAATAAAATGCTAAATAGCTTACTGCAGAAGATAAAACAAAAACCCCGATGAAACTAGAAACAGTTCCATACAGTCAACATGCTTACTGTGTCATATTCAGAAGTACAATGTTGTGCAAGAATTAGACGTATTTATATCCCTACAAGAAGTCATATAATACAATTTACATATTAAAGAATTCCACGCTGTCTGTTGACAACATTTTTACCAGATCCACCATCCGTATTCCATATTTTAAATTTGATTATCTCAATAGATTCACTTATATTCATATTAATGACATTTTAAGGTTGTGTTAAAATAACAGTTCTTTTCACATTGCATTGTGTATTTAGTTTCATTAATATGTTTTGCTAATGGTGAAATGGTAATATTATTGTTTTTAACATTTCCTTTGTGTTCATTCATTCTGTATTTTAAGTTTCTTCTAGTTTGTCTTGTATAAATTTTTTTACATTCACATGATATTTTATATATACCAAATTTTTCCATTAAATCAATTTTACCTTTAGTTATATTAAGAATTTGGCTAACTTTGTTTATGGATTAATATATCAGAAAAAATATCTATTTTTTACTAAATTACTTCATTATTTGACAAGATAAAGCAGGTATAAATGATAGTACCATAACATCTTTTTTCCTTTTTACTGTAGGTGGTTTTCACTTAATAATGTCATCCTTGTTTTCTTTAGTTTTTTGACAGCTCTGTCAACAATGTCAGAATTAAAACCTCTTTCTACTGCTATGTACTTAATTAATAATAACTCATTATTAATGTCTTCTTGTTTACTACATAATGTCATTATCATATCCACATACGAGAAAAAAACAGTAGTTTTCTGAGATTTAGTGTGACAAGATCTTATGTGTCAGAAAGATTTTTGATAAATAGTAGTTTCCAGTTTATCCTTATTTTTACTCACTGAAACATACGAAAAAGATAAACAGCTATTTGTCTCAACTTTATTTATAAATTTGATAGAATTGTCGATGTTATTAAGGTAATTAGCAAAAACACCTAATTCCTCTTTACCATGCCACCATATCAAAAATGTGTCCTTAACATACCTTAACCAAACTTCAGATTTCTTATCCGCTTTTTCTAACACTTCAGTTTCAAAATAAGTCCCATAATAACGGAGATAAAGGAGAACTCATAGCTAAACCTTCATTCTGTTTATAAACTTTACTGTTAATTTAAAAAAAAAAAAGTTTTCAACATATGCTTCTACCAGATTAATCATATCTGTTATTTCTAAGACCGAATGATTATTTTCTTTAAACTTTTTTTCGAAACTCGCAATGGCTTTATCATAAATACTTTGGTGAACAACATCAAAAGACACCACGATATTTTTCTAATCAAAAGTTATATGCTTAACTCTTTTCACAAGTTCAAACGAATTCTTGACTGTGTATTTATTTTTTATCCTTTAAAAAATGAGAATTTTTTTTCGATATCAATTTTGCTACACCATACGCTGAACGTTTGATATTAGATAATTGTTCCCAATCTTATGAACTTTAGACAAAGTATTTAGTCTAGGTAAAATAAAGTTACTTGGAATTTTTTCAGTTCACGCAGAGTACATCTTACAATAAAAGCGGGAAACTTGAATAAATAAGATACAAAATACAAAAATAAAAGAAGTCCTTGTGAAATTAGCTCGCAATATGAACTCTTTCAAGGCCAGTTTGTCACTCTAAAAGATTAGAAGCTGTGCTGAGAAATTTTCAGTTTGGCTTCAAGGTTAAACTTGCCGCGTGGTAACAGCGTCTGGATTGTAAACCACGAGAGCCGAAGCACACGTGTATGCCCTCAACAAGGAAAGATAGCACGTGACAAAAATACTGACATATGCATTTTTTATTTATTAATAGAAATATCTGATACGTTTGTGGAAATGTTCTTGTGATATTACTTCTAAGTGTATTTCTCTTGGATGCAGAAGGTATTGATGTCTACCCTAGTAACAGTTGTTGTCACCACAAAGTTTTGTTTTTGTTTTCAAGATAATTTTGAGTTTTCAGCTATACACAACGCCAAAATGAATATAGAGAATTACTGTTGAAATGTGTGTGTGTGGGGGGGGATGTTCCTACGTCTCTTCATGTAAACAACATACAATATACAATATACAAAATAAACTTAAAATGCAATATAAAATAAACGGATCATTCGGTGGAAATATGTTTGATATTTCTGATCTTTACAAATCTTCCTTTAAATAATACTAAACACTTAGAAACTTAGTTTTTAACAAAAAGTCTGATTACATATGAATAAGTACACATTTTTCTTCTACTGGCCCACAGGTAGCTCAGCTGTAAGTTTGAAAGCTTATGAGACTAAAAAAACAGGTTTCGATACTTGCGCTTAGCACAGGACAGACAGCCAATCGTGTAGCTTTATATTTAATAATAAGCAAGTAAACCTTCTACTATTTTAGCTGTAATACACTATTAGGTAAGAATATCTGAACGCCATTAATAAATATATGATATGCCATTAACGTAAAATATCTTAGTACATTGGAACCAACAAATTATAATTGTACTTAAATAATTGACAGAAGTACCTTGTTGTGTGCCCGTATATCCGGAAATAAACCAGTTTTAAGTGTAACTGTAACTACTATATTCAATCACGAAGTATTGTTTTGCGGTTAATACACATATAAACTTACGCTACATCTGTAAAAGCCATGGAATTAAAACATTATTTTGCTTCCGACAGCGAAGGTGTATGTACTTTTAGTAGAAAGACAACAACTTTCAATCTATTACATGCTAGTTGCTGAGAGCTAGTAACAACCTCGGAATTTACCCACTGATTGAACTTTGAATCTTTAAACTGTAGTTGTTGACCGCTTTCTTCCATATTTCAGTGAAATAATAACAAAAAACTCGATCACAGTTCAGAAATTGTTTGCAGAATTGGAGTATAAGTTTATACTGAAGTCGTCACCAAGTAGCATTTGATTCTCGTCCGAGTATCTTCAGGACAAGTGATAAAATCGTCCAAGAACGTACGCTCAATTTAAATATTTAAATGTAAATTACAAGTCATCAGTTGATACAAGAAAAGTGCTAGAATATGGGAAGCTTTATGAAGCGATTAAGATTTTTTTGTTTAAAGAGATTCCAACATGTTAATCCTGCATTACGTGTATAAGACTACTTTGTAGAATTGAACAACTCAAATAATCATTAGGTGTATAGGACTGACATGTTATTCCTGTATTACGTGTATAGTACTGCTCTGAAGTTGGGCAACTTGAATAATAATACATCACTGATGTATTAATCCTACATTACGCGCATAGGACTATTATAGTGTTGGGCGACTTTAACAATTATACAACACCAGAGATAATAGGTATCCACGAATATTGTTGTTGTAATGTTATCAGTTTGCACATCGAAATGTACTTTGCACAAATTCCACTTATTAGAAATGAGCTAGTGTATCTGATTGTGTCGTTTCCAATGATTAGAATTAGCAAGTATTATAATTGTTTTTCTTTTTGTTCAAATAAACATCAGTGTGTGTTTGCAGAATCTAAACACACAAATAAAAAGAAAAATGTATTGATGCAACAGCCCATATACAAATTAAACTTGCATTAAAACATTATATTAGTGTTATAAAATGGGACATCTATAGCATAGTAAATGTTAATATTTGCAGAACTATTAAGTTCCTTTGTAAAAAATTGGGCATTTATAGCTTATATAACACTATTGGAATAAAGAACAGGAACATTGTAATCAGCACATTTATATTTTATCTGCGATAACCACAAGGTGCCTCCCACCAGTGGCACAGCGGTATGTCTGCGGACTTACAATGCTAGAAACCGGGTTTCGATACCCGTGGTGGGCAGCGCACAGATAGCCCATTGTGTAGCTTTGTGCATAACGTCAAACAAACAAATAACCACAAGGCAGGGGCCGACAACTATCACGTTACGGGCCATACTAGTGTACTTTTAAACATAGAAGGCAGACAGAGTTCTAAAGCCATTGGCTCTCCTTTTAGCTCTCTATGACCAAAATTGTGTATATATAATATTTAAAAATTTAAAGCCTTATTTTTAATATGACTACAATAAACATTCCCTCCTTGTACCGTTTCTTTTCCAGTATGTTTTATTAGTAAAGATGTTTCAAGTATATTTTCATTAGCACAGTATGTTTTCATTTGTACAGGTGTTTACCAGTATGTTTTCATTAGTACACATGTTTACCACTATGTTTTCTTTCGTACATTGTCAGTCCTACGATCATTTCCTAATGTATTGAAGGTAAATTTTCTTTTAAAGCGATTTCCATATATTTTCATATTATATAACACAGACACCTTAGTTAATCTATATCACAATCAATTTAAGAATGTACTTCACACAATTCTTACCTAAGGATTGTAACAAACTGCGACATGGTCAGTTCCTGTGGTACAAGAAATTTAGTTTTGTCAAGAGCTGGAAGGTTAACTTCTTTACAGAACCTTTCAACAATTACCTAGAAAATAAAACGAAACAATTTCGTGTATCTAACAAGAATTAACCAACTCTTTTTCTTTTAGGATTAATTATGTATTTTCTACATTGGTGAATGAAAATTCCAAATATTTCTCGTGACTTTTCAAAATACATAATGCTCGTCTTATCCGATAAAATGTATAGAAGATAAAATAAAACAGATATAATCAGACAAAATAACAACCAAGCCAAAGTGAAAGAAGTTAGCGATGAAACAGTTTTTAATTAAAGAAACAAAATATAAAGTGGTACCAACTGGTAGTAATAGGGCAATGACCTTTGAAATTTTATATCAGCCCATTTTCTTCTTTTCAGCATACAAAACACACACACACACGTGTTGAAAGTTAACTGAATCCCAGTGAAAAGTCCCATTTTTTTAGCGATATTCTATCCATCTATGAATCTTAAAGTCGAATGAAATCAGACAAATATTTTCATCTCAAGTAACTAAAATAGATCCACTGGATGTCTTGCTTTACCTAACTTGTTGAAGAGAAGCGAACCTGCAGTTCTTGGTGATTATGATATGGTTATTGTTACCAAAAGCAAGCCCACTTGTATTACATTGTAATCTACAGAACTATATTGTGAAGACATTACAGTTCTTGGTGATTATGATATGGTTATTGTTACCAAAAGCAAGCCCACTTGTATTACATTGTAATCTACAGAACTATATTGTGAATACATTACAGTTCTTGGTGATTATAATATGGTTATTGTTACCAAAAAGCAAACCCACATGTATTACATTGTAATCTACAGAACTATATTGTGAAGACATTGCAGTTCTCGGCGATTATGATACTGCTATTGTTACCTTCGTGTGTTACATTACAATCTACAACACGATATGGGTCTCCACCATAATAATTATAGATCTATTTGGAGATCAAGACAGCCGTAACCAAGCATTTGCAGCTGAACAAGTGACAAAATGAGTTCATGCAGAAATTCTACACCCAGAAAATTCGGTTACATAAAACTATTAGATCATATTTCTTACCATCGACCTATAACCGGCCTGATGAAAGCTGATATAACTCGAAACAGCAGTTCTTTCTAGCCACGTGGAATAAGTTTTGTTACCTAATGCAGTCAAATCTTTTATAAACTTTGGATATGTGTAGTTCAACGGGGAAAATTTAGTGTAGTATTAATGATTAATTCCAAACCTTTATCATTTACAACTTTTTCTGTGAATGTCAGTTCAGCATAAAAAATTCTGCCTATGTTGTAAGCGTAATTTTCGCTTACTTATAATTAATTATTGACAAAATCATTAGTGCTCTATGTGAAGCTCCCATGCATAACTATATGGTTCGTCCTTTATGATTGAAGAGGACCATCTTCATCATCATCCAATGATTTTGTGTGTTCGGAGTTAACTGATTAGCCTGATCCTGGCTAGAAAATGTCTGGCACAATGAGGGCAAGACAGCAAGGGGACTGGTGGGTTCTGGTGGTTGCTTCTTATTGCTTTACGTGCTACACGATTGTTCTGGGCTGTCAGGATCAGCTATTGTCCATATGTAGCTGCTCCCTTTGTGACAGCACTCTTCCAGGCTGGGTGGTTTTGGGCAAGAGTTTTCCAGGTATTAGGATCGATCTTAAAAACTCACAATTTTTAAAAACAACGATCATTTTATACACAATTCTATAAAAATGTGATTGTTTCCAGTCTCCATATTACTAAAATACAATAACTTGCTGTACATGTACGTTAACACGTACGTAAATTAAATTTTGGTGGCTCCAAGTACAACTGTACGATAGAAAAGTCCCTAGGTTTAGTCAATGCTAATTTTACGGATTTACAACACTAAAGTCCAGGGTTTGTTTCCCCCCGGCATACAGAGCACAGATAACTCTTTGTGGACCTTTACGATACTACAAAACAAACAAACGAAAGAAAAAAGACCTGGAAATATTATCTCGTCTTCACAAACATTTATGCATATTTCTTTACCTGGTAACTTTATTAAATATAAAACATGTAATTTAATTTTTACACTTACCGGTATTTTGTTAGGAAATTTTTCTTTTATATCTGCCACCTCCTGTTTCCTAACAGCTACAAGATAAATTCAAATCAACTATAAAGTCTGTTTATATTATAATCTATAAATTTATATCTTAACAACGGGTGAAAATGCTGCATTCACAAAGCAAACCCCTCACATAATTAAAGTTTTGATTCTGACTTATGAACATTCCTTGATCACATTTTCTTGTTTACTTGATCACATAAAACTTGTGTTCAACAAGATCCTTGAAATTTCCATCACATCTGAGGCCAAAGTTGAATTTCAGACAAAGGTATTAAATGCCGATTCTTTTTCGTTCTCATTTCCCTATATTTCCCTGTCCAGGGGAAAATGTTTTAGTATCAACCAATAGGAGTATATAATATTAAATAACATTAAAATAAAAATTATAGCTTCCTTTTATGTTCATTTAGCATACCCTTAAACATTATCTTTCAGACATTAATGTTGTGAGTGGCTGTAATTTTCTTTTAATCAATTTCACATTCTTGAAAATAAAAGTATTTTCCTAGACAACAAAGTAAAGTTTGTGCATTCATTTGGTTGGAAATTACTAATGCCTTTCAAAATCTTCTAAAATGTTAAGATGATTTTGTATTGAAAATACTTAAAACAATAAAAGCTGGTGTCAAAATAGCTCACAGTTTTAATTTTTAATTCTTAAAGTCAAGAAAATATTATCATTCAAAATGACTTGTAACAATGTTAATTAGGATTTTAGGATATCTGTGTTACCATAATATGCAATTCAATTGGATTAATAAATTAAAATTGATATTTTAACTTACACCATCAAAACAATAATAAAGATATAAATATATTTGTTCACAACAATCTTTAATTGTTTCGTTTCCCTTATGCACTCACAGTTTTTGTTGTTGTTTATGATACAGGAAAGCAACCATACACTGATTATTTCGCTCCCTAGTGTGTTAAGCATTAACTACATCCAACAGAAAATGTAAATTATTTTTTCATCTCATAGTACACATTTCAACATTCAAATAAAAATTTCTGAATGCCGGCTACAAAGACATAGAAAGCCCATATGCCGAAAGCACAAAATTCATTTAAAATATTAAAAATCATAAAATCGTTAAAAATAATAAAAGTAGTCCCAAAATTTTAGTTTGATATAATATTTTTAAAGGGAAAGAACGAACCCAAAAGAAGTTTAAATCAAATCATACAATTTGCATCAAGCATTAGAACTAAAAGTAATTTTGCTTCAGAAAAGGTTCACCCTCTTCAAAACTGCTAAGCATTAAAGATGATCTTGACAAGTCCGAGTTGTTCGAACCAGCTAGGCGACAGGGATTAGTCTGACCGAACCTAAATCGAAATTAACATGTTCACACTCGTATCTAGTTTGATTTTCATGTTTTATAAACGTGTTTGGATCTAAAACGATTTTCTAATGCTCATATTTGCTACACAGATTTCTCTTTTCCTTGCACACGGATCGGACCTAAAAAATTCGGATATAAATATTCTTGCTGGAACTCGTCTCCTGCTCGAATTACGACTGTTCGTATTGTTATCGCATTTCTTTGTCACATCTAGTTCTTTCTAAGTTATATACTGTTAAAATTAAGCTTTATTATGATTCTGTTATAATTGATCAGATATTCGTTTTTAAATTCCTAGACTTTTATAAGCTTTAGCAAAGTTTATTGTCTCTGAACCACTGGTTAAGCTGTGTTTAAACGCCATCTTTGCACATTCAAACACTATAAATTCATATGTTGAATAATTGCTAATTATAATGTTATGTATTAAAATTGATAAAATGCTAAACTTAATTAGCTTACATGACTTATTTATATGCTACCTATACAAAGAATATTACAGTTTTTTGTTAATTGAAGAATAATCTCAAATTATCTTTTACACTTCACAAATAGCTTCGTGAAAGAAAAAAAAAATCACCGAAATTGTTTGTTATCTATGTAGTATTTTAGAACAATTGGTAACGTGGCATACCGTCAAAATAAATTACCTACATTACTTATGGCTCCAGCTAAAAGTGGCATATGTTCCGAGACAAGTTATTGTTCGATTTTTGGAACACTTTACGAGGCTCTGCCCAATTGGTTATACATAGTTTGATTGATACTCGCTGGAGTATGTCGATAGAAGGTGGCAGGTCATATAGCTATACTGATCAAGACACACGGTAGAAGGTGGCAGGTCATATAGCTATACTGATCAAGACACACGGTAGAAGGTGGCAGGTCATATAGCTATACTGATCAAGACACTCGGTAGAAGGTGGCAGGTCATATAGCTATACTGATCAAGACACACGGTAGAAGGTGGCAGGTCATATAGCTATACTGATCAAGACACACGGTAGAAGGTGGCAGGTCATATAGCTATATTGATCAAGACACACGGTAGAAGGTGGCAGGTCATATAGCTATACTGATCAAGACACTCGGTAGAAGGTGGCAGTTCATATAGCTATACTGATCAAGACACTCGGTAGAAGGTGGCAGGTCATATAGCTATACTGATCAAGACACACGGTAGAAGGTGGCAGGTCATATAGCTATACTGATCAAGACACACGGTAGAAGGTGGCAGGTCATATAGCTATACTAATCAAGACACTCGGTAGAAGGTGGCAGGTCATATAGCTATACTGATCAAGACACACGGTACTGTGTCTTGCGGCCAAAAAACAAACCTCAGGACACATTGTGTGTTATTAACAGGGGGTGATAGTTTAGCGATTTTCCATCTTCTGTATCACATATTTTCAGAGAGTGTGCTCTATTGGACTCTTAATTCACATACCGAATTTCAAGGCAATCCATTAAGAAACATCTGAGATATAACATTTCCAATTTTGATTGAGTTTCTTCCTATTTTTTTCTTCGCACCAAATGTACGGAAACTTTATTTGATAAAAAACAGATTTACATTTTATAGATTTTTTTTCGAATTTAGTACACTGATAGATCTTTACAACCTACAATTGGGAGTCTTATTTGGTGTAAGTATAAAACCATATGTACAAAGTTATTCAACAAAAACCGCTCAGATTAGTGAAACGTTTTTGAGCTATCGGTCTAACATTTTTACTACAGCTTCATCTATGAGAGAATGTGGACCGTTTTTAGTTTCTTGTCATTCGGATTAAAGATGGCTCTTCGAGAAGCAAAACTTCAAGGTGGAAGGAATAAGTATTGGTTAGGCCAAGCAAACAAGATTAGCAGTTTCTAGCTCATGTTTTCAAAAGAATCATACGAGTGGACTATTATCATTGATTATTCATTGCCAAATTTTCAGCACAAATTTACAAAACTTTATGAAATTATCCTAACTAAAAAGCATTTAGCGTCATGTGATATTAGGTCAAACAATTAGCATAAATAATAATGCTTGATACGGTTGCACCGATTGCGTGGGGCGGGGGGGGGGGTGATGACAAGAAACTGTTAATCTACATTGCATGGCGTTAGTATAAAGGAAGCTATTAACACTGTTTTAGAGAGGAAAACTATCACCATATATATATTAAACAATTTGTTTGGTTCTGTAAAGTAAAGGTCTGTTCCTAATAATAATTTGGTTGCGATCCTAAAGCTAATGTTGGTTACTATCGAATGTAATTTTCTTACTTGCTGTGGTTTGTTCTTGTGTATTGACAAAACGTCATGATACCTAGTTTTACAGCAAATATTCATTCACTAGGTAGCTAGGCTGCGTATTTTGTTTTACACACCATCATGCTCCAAGTTGAACAAAAACGCGGCCTGACTAATAAATGAATGAATATTTGCTGTAAAATTCTTATGAATGTTATAAGTGTAGCTACCAGTTTAGCCACCAATTTTGATTTCATTCCTTTAACGTTCAATCCTTTTTGGCCGCATCTTTTTTCACATCTAAGGTGTTTTTGACTAGATATTTTATAACTGGACAAATGAATGAAAAACAATAAAATAAAAATAGATTAAATTGTTTAATCAAAACGCGGATTCAGTCTTTACCAAATATTACCACACTTTTTTATTTTTTAAAGATCATGAACTAGAACTTATACGATTATTTGTTAGATCAATTTATTATTACTTAAAATAGATTTACTCGTTGACTTTATCATAAGTTTAAAAACAGTAACTGAGCAAGTCTTACCGAAACACTTTCGCTGTTTGAATGAGAGACACTTGTCACTATGCCTGACTGTTGTCATATTACCACTACTAGAATTGCTCGGCTTAGGAACCATATGATAGGATAGATGTACGTTTAAAACAGTTTAACCCTTCTACTCGACAACTATGTCTGTGGTAATCAGGCAATGCCGCTGACCCTAGACATTTACATGAAAACTGAGTCATGTGATCAATCTCTTAAACGCTGATTGGTAGCGGCTGGCGATATTAGAGGAGTGTTTTTAGATGATATTACGCAATACTCCTGGCCTCAATATGATAACAAAAAATTTAAATTATTTCTTTTTCACCTATATTGCTTCTATAGAGTTTGTTTGTTTTTTGTTGCTGTTAAGCGCAAAGCTACACAATGGACTATCTGAGCTTTGCCCATCGCGGGCATCGAAACCTGAATTTCAGCGTTATAAGCTTTCAGACTTACCTCTAAGCCAGCTCTATATAGCGTAAATTTCATTTGCTTGCTCAATGAAGTAAAAGAGACGTATTTTTTAGTTGTTATGTTAATATCTGTGGAGTAACCAATGTATTAGAGAAAATGGTATGGCATCTCATTTATTTCATTCATACTGCATGCTCTCCTTAAATTAGCGTAATATATAAATAAAAATCTGATTAAAATATTGTAATTTTTGCATTCATTACCGATTACAGAAATCTATTTTTTTTATTCTAGAAAACAGAAACCAACATGGCATAAACTGCATAAATCATAATTGTTTTTGTAATACAATAGTCATGCACATGATTTTTGATACTGAAAGCTGTATTCATTTATTTATTAAAGATGGTTTAGTTCAACAACAACCCACATCATTTCTCATTTTCAAGATTACTCAGACAGCAATATTTAGTTTTAGAGTTATAATATGGAAAAATAATAATGAAAACAAGACTGTTAAGAAAAATACATTACATACTATTTATGGAATAATCTTTAGAATAAGGAAATGTTCACCAGTAACGAATGCAATGTAACAAGTTGATAACATGACAGTGAATATGCAAACTTCAGCTTCGCAGCCTGTTGATTCGTTCAGCATATGTGAGAAAATAAAAAAAAAATTCAATTTTGAAGTATTCGTATTATATTATTCTGCTTGTTAGCATATTCATATTTTAGTTATTAGCATATTCTATATTTTACTTGGAAGCACATTCGACATTTATGTTAATCTAAAAAGAATCTTCACAATTTCAAAATATGCTAACAACTTTATAGTTTGATGGTCAAATTGAAAATAAAAAGACAAAACTTGCACTAAAAATCCACATTGTTTTTCTACATGTCATTCAGTGATATATGTTAAATATCATCATGACAGTTTATTACCTACACTTTGACGATTGGCGCAAGAGTCTGCTGAATTAAAAAGGTGAAAGCGACGAACTGTTAACCATAAACGAAAACCACCTTTGGGCATACTATCTTAACCCATATAAAATAGAGATAATATATAGTTGTACATCCTATGGACATATCCGAGGAGAAGGATAACGGGCTCTACTTTCTCTTCCCCAGAACCTTCAGAGAAGAGAATGTTTATTCTAGATTTTGTTCTTTTGCCACCTTTTTGTCTGATAACAAAGATCTCTCCCAAAAAATGTTTCCTCGTTATGGTACTGATGCATCTCAAATATTCAGAGTGCTTAACAAGTTGTAGCCTACTTCTACCTGCATACAGTTTATATGCACAACATTCACTTGAAAAGATTTATATAAAATTCTTATTTGATAAAAATTTGTTATTCGTTTCACAAGCTTTCTCTGTGTCATTTATTACCAACCCATAATAATTCAAAGGATACACATTACAGTCCAATCAACACAAATCAACAAAACTCAACAAATATATATATATCGATTAATTTTGCCTGAAGTTGATGGCGTAACCATTAAAGTTTACTCTTTCATGATGAATCACGGGATGTTAGTTATAGCTAACTGTTTACTCCTTTATCTCAATTAACTTATCAGTTCTAAGGTTATATTACCATGTGTCTAAAGCTTTCCAGAAACACAAGTTCACCGTGCTGCTGGTCACATGCAAGAAGTATCCTTGTGCTGTACTTTTTGTTTATGAGCAAAATTATATGTATCACTTTTCTACATGAAAACCTTGACCTAATAAATGCTTTTTATATAATATAGCATATTTCAAAAATTAAAAAAAAGGTACGATTTCATTGTTTCAATCAGTTGTTGTGATCAGAAAAACTATTCTACTCGTGTCTTTAGATAAAAAAAAATAGTTTGTTAAAATTTACATTGTTATATTTTACAAGGCAGCCTTAGGCACGCCTATAAAAACACCCAGAACTTTGTTATTGCTCAGACTAAGAAGATAGTGACGACGAAACAATATTTGTTTTTAAAACAAAATACGAAAGTCAACAGTTTCCATGACTATTTAATACACAGAAGTAAAACAGTAAGCGATGAAAAGTAGAAATATAATAGCATCTTTTTTCTTTAATTTTTAAAATTTCCCTAGAACAAATTAAGATTCGTGGTGCCTTCTATGTCTGAATTTCGTACACTTTTTTATACTACTACCACATTTAAAGTTAGCTGTTACTAAGTCACTCAAGAACAGCCGAAGTGTCATGTTTACTTCACCTTACCCCCTTCATCACTAGAACTTATTGAGATATGCCACTAATATAATCTAGCATAAGAATAAGAATGAGATCTTTTACACGCATGTCTTGATTGCAAATTCAACTATTTTAAAGTATGTACGATAATTTGAATATAAATGATTTTTATTTTAAGCAACCATATGGCTGAATTATATCTATGTAAAAGTTTACATTGAACTTTGAAATAAACTAGTCACAAGCGTGAAAAAATGCTGTTAGAAGCCATAGTCGTTCTTAAAAAAAGACACACATATAT